GAGTTAAAAAAAAAAAAAAGTCAAAAACAAAACAAAACATGTACAATATGATACCATTTGTGGGGAGAAATATCCCACCCAAAACACTACATTTCCTTTGTATAAACATGTAACAGCAGAAAAGCAAAGAAAAAAATGGAAAAATTCAAAATAAACTCATAATAGTGGTCACTTTGGAAAGGAGGGAGGAGTAGGAGGGAAGTGAGAGCTGGAGATTGGGAACCCTCTGCCAGCTGCAGGAGGGATGAGAGATCAGCAGTTTCATTCCCTGCCACTGTCCACTGCTTTTTACATAAACCATCGTCAACTCTGCCTGCCAATTTGTATCTCAGACCTGGTTGGCCTTTATAGAGTTTATCTGAAAATATAAACAGGAAAAAAGAACAAAACTGTATAATACATAGCTGCCAACTTGATCTTACTCTGGCTCCAGAATGAACCACTTAAAGCACACTTTCCAAGGTTAAAGGTTCTAAGATTGAGTTGTTGAGGTGACACCTGGGCATTCTGTACAACTGTCGTTCTCTTGCAGAAAAATTCACTTTTCATCTTTACATTTTGTATATGGTTGGCATGACGTGTTAAGAGTGTTGAAACAGCCCCAGCTGGTTTTGCTCAGTGGTTAGAGCATCGACCTGTGGACTGAAGGGTCCCGGATTCGATTCCAGTCAAGGGCATGTACCTTGGTTGAAGGCTTGACCGACCCCAGTCGGAGCAAGTGTGGGAGGCAACCAATAGATGTGTCTCTTTCACATCGATGTTTATGTTTCTCTCTCTCTCCCCCTTCCACTCTCTCTGAAAAGCAATGGAAAAAATATCCTCAGTTGAGGATTTAAAAAAAAAAAAAAAAAAAAAGACAGTTGAAACAATCATCACCTCTCTCCCTAAGCTGGGAGACCTTTGCTGCTTCTGATTTGGTCACAGTGGTTACACAGGCTACATGTCTTGCTTCACACCTCACCTTGGGGCATTGTGGGGGCCCCACATGATTCCTACATGTGGCAGGGATCTTTGCTTGGATAGAGAGCCAAAGGAGGTGAACACGGTTACCACGAACATTCCAGCTACTCTACCACAGGAAACTCACGTAATGAAATGCTAAAGAAATAACTTTATAATCCAAGACTCATTGGCACCAGCAACAAACTGAAATATTCTTCGATAGGAAGACTCAGTAGAGTTAAGAGAGCAACTTTCCCAAAATCAACGCAATCCCAAAATCCCTGCCAGCATTTTGTAGAAACTAATGAGCTTCTAAGAATTCTATGTAAATTACATAGAAACACCTAGGACTAGAACAGGCAAAACAATTTTATAAAAGGACAAAGTTGGAGGATTTATAATACCTGATTTCAGTACTCCCCGTAAAATATAACAAGACTGTGGTAACTGGCTTAAAAATAAACATACACATCAGTGGAAACCAACACAAACTCCAGGAACAGACCACGCGTACACAGTCAACTGAATTTTAACAAAGGTGCCATTTCAACAAATGGTACTGGATATCCGTATGGGAAAAAATGAACAGCAAGCCCTACCTCACGCCATACACAAAAATTAATTCAAAATGGATCACAGATCTAAACATAAAAGCTAAAACTATCGAAATTCTAGGAGAAAACCTTCATGACCTAGGTAAACAGATTTCTTAGAAAGGACACAGAAAGCAAAAAGCACAAAAAGAAAACACTGATAAACTGGACTTCATCCAAATTTTAAACTTTGGCACTTTGAATGACCCAATTAAGAACACAAACAGGCAAGCCACAGAGAAGGGAAAATATTCACAATACACCTGACAAAAGACTTGTATCCAGAATACACAACAAACTCTGATAACCAATAATAGGAAGACAAACAAGCTATAAAAATGCACAAAAGATATGAGCAGACCCTTCACAAAAGATGTAACAAATGGCTACCAAGCACATGGAAAGGTGCTTGACATCATTAGTCATCAGGGAAACGCAATTTAGAGATACCACCATATACTCAACAAAAGAGCTAAAATTAAAGAGAGGATGAGAAAGACGTGAAGTCACCGGGTCGCATATATTTTTGGTGGAATGTACAATAGCCCCTTACTCCCTGTCCTACACCCGATCAGTTGGCAGGTTCACATAACCTGCCTGCCTCACTAGCATCTGAAGTGCCCAGCCTGCTCCAAATCACTGACCTGATCAGATCAAGCAATGAAAGGGGACTGTGTTCTCTGGCTCCGGTCCTGGATTCGAAATCGGCCATCGCTAACAATGCGCTCACTGGGATGCTATGAGTGGCTAAGTGAGCTTTCCTGAGCTGAAGCCCTGATTTAGGTCATTAGTAAAAAGCTTGCTGTCATTACCCTCACGTGGCCTAACTACCTAAGCCTGAGCGTGTCATGTCACCCCACCCCCCTCTTCCCCATGCAAATGAATTTCTCCAAGAATACTTTAGAGCAGCCGTGGTCAGAGCGAGGGCAGGAACAGCAGCCTCAGCATGACCCGGGAGGCGGTTAGAAAGGCAGACCTGGGGCCCAGCCCAGACCTCCCAGATGAGCCTGCACCTTCATGACAGGTTTGAGGAGCACGGTGGGGCCACAGCTGATACCACAGTGGAAGCCCCTCGGAGGGGGAGGTTAAACCGATGCTCTCCTCGCTCCGGGGAGGCGGTAGGTGGGGCAGGGCGGGCAGGATGGAGGCACTGGCTGCAGGAGGAGGCGTCCCAGGAGAGGGAAGCATCTTCATTCGTTTTCAATAACCTCCGCTGTGGCTAAACAACTAAGATACTGCATTTCAGTGGGGTTTGGGTGAGTCACGAACCATAGAAAGAGGAGCACGGAAGTAAAAACACTTAAAACCTTCTAAGACCTTCAGGAGGCCTTTCTGAAAACCTGATCAAAAATGTGACACCATCTCTTTCCCAGAAACACACACACCCATTCTACATTCTCTTGGGGAATTCGGTGACTTCCTGGTCTTGAGTGCAGGCTAGGAATTCCTGATTTGGAGACAGGCACAAAGAAACAGGTGAAGAAAAAAAAAAGATTGAAAACTACTTTTTTTTTTCTAAAATGGAAAAAAGTGACCAAGTTTCAACACAAAAGAAATGTAGATGCTTATAAGTTATTCATATCTAGGCAACTTAATTATACAGATGAAACGAAAAGATCAAAAGTATTCTATTGTGTCACCTTTGTCACCAGATTAGTTTAGACATTTTCTCACTTAAACCGTCACCCTCCCAGACCCAAAGCACCATCTGCTTCACCCAACCCTGGTTTCTCACCCTTGCATTTGGGATGGGGTCACAATTATTTGTATGCCATTAGCACCTACCTGCCCCAGGGACTCTGTAAGGGGGGGTAAAAAAACGTTTCTTTCCCTAAAGGGGGACAATGGACATCTTATCACCAAGAAGTTAAAAGTTTCTATGTCAGGGAAGGGCTTAGAGGAAGTTCAATGCCAGACTGTCCTGGCACAGTGGTTGGAGGCTGCCGGCCAAGAAGGTCCTGCAGAACCACATGGAGGACCAGATGGAAAGGAACCCCACATGTTAATTCCTTGTGCAATACTTTTTAAAGACCTACCTTGTGCAAGCACCACTCTAAGACGCAGGAGCCAGGACAAGCAGATCCTCCATCCAGGTGTCCAAGATCTGTGGCTTCTCAGAAGATAAGTAGGGTCAGAGCGCCCAGCACCTGTATTCTTTTTTTTCCAAATGTTTTTATTGATTTCAGAGATAGAGGGAGGGAGAGAAAGAGGGGTAGATGGATGGATAGACAGACAAACAGACAGAAATATCAATGATGAGAGAGAGTCACTGATTGGCTGCCTCCTGTATGCCCCCCACTGGGGATCGAGCCTGAAACCCTAGCATGTGCCCTGGCCGGAAATCCAACTGCTGTCTCCTGGTTCACTGGTCGATTCTCAACCACTGAGCATCACCAGCCAGGCTGTACTCTCTACTTTAGGGCTCACAGAAGGTTAGAGGATCACCTATCTCAGCGACCCCCAGACCCTGGATACTTTTGGCATCCCACCCGCCCATCAAAGTGCAAATGCACCTTGATCATTCAACTCCCTCCGTTCCCTCAGGAGACAAAGCTGAAAAAGCACCTGTTAGACTCTGATTCCCATTCCACCTGCCAGTTAGTTCTGGGCTCAGCTAATTTGCTAATTTCTTTTCACTTTTTATAAGCCCATCACTTTCTGCACAATAATTTCAACTCAATGAACACCCCAAAAAAGGGGGGCGGACAATGTAACCAAGTTTATAAACTAGTCAGAAGCAATGCTTAGTAATGCATTTTTTAATCCTGAAATGGTCTTCAATTTTGTTTGCTCCCCCGCCCCAGCGCACCTTCAATTTTTTTAAATTAGGGAGCTGCAGTGAGGTTTGCATGCAGATCTCAAGCACTCCAGGTGCAGTGTCTCAGGGCTCCCGTCCGGTGTCTGAAGGCAAATGTCAGGGCCTTTCCCACCCACCTGCCCAAACCTTGACATTTAGAGCAACTTGGTGAACACAACTTCCTGGTACTTTTAAGTTTCCTACTTGCCTACACCCCTGGCTGTGGGCTGCGGGCATTCTTGATATGTCTCCGTATACCTTACAAGCATCATTGGGCCAGGCAGCAAAAACACATGTAACAGAATGTTCTGCGCAGCAAAAAAGCGGCAGACAACCCAAGGCCTAACTCCCAGAAACGGATTAAATCAACTGTGATACAGCCACTCAGTAGAACACCATGCAGTTACTAAAGAGAATAAAAGTAACGCATCCATGCATAATACATTACAGTACATAGTGCCATATATATATAATTTACTATACAATATTGTATTGTTCCCATTAAAGAATAGAATGTGATTTATTAAATAAATTATGCTACTACTTAATGTTGTTATATTGTGTTATGTACTACAGGCCGCTGTATTAGTTAACACATCGTACATTAATTCATGAAAAATCAAAGTGCAGAGAAGGTCAAGTCATCCCATTTGGCTAAAAATTAGAGGGCACGTTTGAACGCACGAGCAGAAACAGGCGTGTCAATTATCCGGAGCAGCGGGGCTCGGCTCTCCCGCAACTCAGTGCCACCTGGAGGCCTTGAAGCCCAGACTGCTGGGCCGCGGGGCCGCGTGAGCGGGGGAGCCGCGCTTCCGACAGGCCGCAGGTGATGCTGCGGGTCCCGGGCAGCACACCCCGGGGCCACG